TAAACCAATACTTCAATTAGGGTGGGGAGAGGAGCATCTGAAATTATGCTAATAAAATTCAAAACAAGATGAAAGAATGCAATATAAATATAGTAGTAGTATGTTTTTCTACCGAAGAAAGTTACCAGTGATGATTCCCAGGTAGAACGATGTGAAGAGTTAACAATAAAAGTTGTATGACACAGATATTGGTACCTGTTTGAGGTATATCTATTGTAGGTAGATAGTAGTATCATCAATTGTCTCATTGTATGTGCAAATAATGAATACAATTGAACAGATCGTGACGATCGATGGTATAGGCGCTATGGAGGACATTCATTATAAATATTTTATTAGGAATATACCATTTCCAACGCCATATTGTCACCATCAACAATTAAGAAAAGTATATTGCTTTTTTTAATTGCTATTCTTGGGACCAAATATTCTATCTGAGAAAGAGTAACTTTTCGCGTCAGAAAATTGTTAAGTGACCAGGAGTTTTGTTTTTCTGGCTAAATTATAAAAGAGATGATTCAAGTTATTCCACAAGACTCGCACTGACGTTACCAGCGTGATATTTGACGTAAACATCTATACTTCAAAATTGATGTGGAAAAATATTTTAAATATGTGAAGAGTTCATACAATATTAACACTTCACGTTTACCTAATTGAAATAAGAGTTAGTTTATCAGTGTGGGAAATTTTTAATTTTTCCTCTTTATCACTTCATAGATTTAATTTAAAATGGATATGTTTTTGCTTCTTTTGTTTAACAAGCTAATAAAAAGGGAAGAAAAATAAAAAAGCGAATTATTTAAGAAATTTTAAATTATTTTAAATTAATCCATCAGTTAAAGGAAAATTATGCTATTATTTAAGCTCGTACGATTGAAGTAAACCTACGTATTTCTTTCTTCTTTATTGTATCACATTCCGATCTGCTTGTTTGTCAACCATGAGACTTCCATCTTAAAGTTCAGCAGCTGCTCAATGACTCCTTGTCACAGTTTAATGTACTTCCGAAATCATAAAAACGGTTCAAATGATAAGCGAACATAAGATCCGAGCATTACGTAGTGACAAGTGAGTAAATTTAGAGTTGCTCACGTTTATTTTGACGGACAACAAACAAGATGAAGAAGTTTTGTGGATTTTAATGCGGAGAATGACGTACGGAAAAAGATCCGCTATAGCACATTGGTGAAGAGAGATGGAATCAAGTGGGACAAAACGATGATAAGAAGGTAAACAAAGATATCATGGTAAATGAGTCAGCAAAATATAATAAGCACCTTGCCTTGATGCATGAAGGAAGTAGAGCAACATAAAAAGAAGCATATAAGGGACAAAATAAAAAAGGAAAACAGAAGATGACTGAAAGAGGAAAGTGAATTTAACGAGGTAAAAATGACAATGGCTTACATCACAAAAGCATCCAATTCTCAACAAATATTCAACTTTATAGTCGAAAATTTTCTACATACTCGAAAAATTTTCAAAATCGTTTAATAATGTTGGCTTAAACATAAAGGAATCTAAGTCAGATTTTCATTTTGATACCTTCAATTTTATCATACTCTAACATATATTATTCTCTGTCCTCTTCCAACTCCTCTTATGCTCTCCCTTTTCATTTAATTACCCTGAAAACTGTAAATGGGAGAGGAATTCAGCAGGGAAATGCATTTTCGAGAGATGAACCTGTTTCCTTAACATTAACCCTCAATTTTATGATTTATAAAATTTCGAAACGAATAAAATATGAAAAATTTGTTTGAATAAAGATAAAGACGATTAAATTTATGTGGAGGTCAACTTTGCTATCATATTATATATCAAACTTGACCAATCAATTAATCTTACAAGAAGTTTACTTTACCACTGCCCCTGGGCGACTGTTTTAATTCACTGCAGTGATTGGATGCTTCCTGTCTAATTTAACAAATTGTTCTGTTACAGCTCAAGACAAACTATCGTAAAAACAAAAGTTGTTGTAAGTTAAAAACTGAATATTACCAGAATCTACCAACATAAATGCGAGCATAACAGCACAGCATGTCTATGAGACAAATGCAATTACAGGTACACGATTATATTAAATTATTTCGAAGATTACTATTCTGAAATTTCAATATTTTACTTCGTTACTCCTGAAATAAACACAATTCTAAGTTGACATTCTTGTGCTCCCGGTATTTCATAGAGTTATGTTATGGATTATAAGCTTACTAAAGTGCATATCTATATTTTAAAAGAGGATGAAATGACGATACCTGATCCGTTCACTTATGTCTAATTCTTCATTCTGGACAAATGCTTGATCAACATCCAGCAGACTAGTCTGTACCACAAGTGCAAATAAAACTGCAAATCAAAAAAATGATTTGTTCAGATATTGAATTTGAGTTCCACATTTTTTCCAAATTTAATTCAAAGCCATTTTTAATTCTTCACAACAGAAACAAAGTTGTTCAACGGTGATTTTGTTATCAAATGATAATACTTCTGTCTATCAGAAAAAAATTTGAAAATTTCAGCTATACATCCTGTTGCCATCATCAAAGAACCATCATTTCTACTTCAGAACTAAGTGTTATTTTTAAATTAAGCAAAAGAGAGTACCGTAATCCAAACAAAAAGTATGAAAGTTGATACCATAGGTTGAACTAACATGCAAACATTTGTTGCAGAAATGAATACAAATGATTTGTTAATGAGATGAAAAATGGAAGACCTGATCTTTTCGATGGTTTTTCAGAGTGAATTTAATTGGTACTCCACTGGGGAATACAAAAACTGGTTCCGCTTGTCAAATTAGTAAGGACAACAGTTGTGAGGTTTGGGAGGAGAGGAAACAGAGGAATTGTGGAACTGACAGTACCCAGCCAACGGGTAGCTCCCATCATCATCGTCATCATCATTATCATCATTTGTAATAATCGATTAATTATTGGTTATAATTAGTGTTACACACTAGTAGTTTTCAATATTGATAATTCAGTCAGTGATTTCTGGATCCGGTTATAGAGAAATGATTTATATTAGCATCTGAAAAAGAATTCATAAAATAGCGTGCGACCAAAACCAATACTTTGTCATAAATGAGACTTTACTTCCGTATCAATCCGAGTAAAAACGTAAGCAACAAAAAAGTGATATGAACGGATGACACAAATGAATGAATGATAGAATAATTTGTGAATGAATTCAATCATTTTTTTTTCCTCGTACCGTAACCGCTAATTTCCATTTGCATAGGTGAAGGATATGGATGAAGGATAAAGAACTTTTTAGAAGTCCCCCGAGATTTGCCGTTGAAATTACAAAAATGAAAAATGGACAAATGTTTAATTTATGAGGAAATAATATTTTAAGTTTTAAATCGTCTATTCAGCAAAAAATTTTATCATTAAAGATCATTTAACAATGCTATCATAAGACGTTTATGACGTACGAGATCGAGATGTTATGACATTCCTGATAAAAGATAAATTAATTGATGATAAATTGAAGAAATTTATAAACTGAACATTTCAACTTACAACTTATAAAATTATTAATGATGTAATAGTCTTAAAGATCAAGTACTTAAGTAACTTACCTACTAAAATCATCAACAAATTTAGCATATCCTTGGAACATTCCATCATTTTATAAATTTCTAAGTTACAGTTGCTGTATACAAGCTGCTTTATTTAATATATAGAGAACTTACGAAATTTATAAAATCTCCCGGCAATTTTGGAAATTTTTTTTTAAAACAGTCCCATTAGGGAGTTATGTTTTTGTATGAATAGCCAAAATTTATTAATTTCATAACTTGTAGTAGTAGTAATAATTTGAAAGACAATAACAGAAATATCTCTGAGTTTCAAACGATGAAAATTTCGATATTATTAAAAAGCAGAGAGATGAGTTTTCTTTCTTTGCAAAAAACTCTAAACTTTACAATTATTATATTCGTTTACTGCATTCCTTTCCCATTCTTCTTACCTTTACCGCTATCTTCCGGAAGTATTCATTTAAGAACAACATTTTCAGTCATTTTTCTCTAACCCTTATGGCAGCATTTTCAGAACTCTCATCATTTTATTTTCTCCTCTTGTTAGACTACTTGTCACCAAATAACGTTAATTAGTGAGTGTCAATTAAACAAAACTGAAAAAGACATTTTTAAATAAGAAATTCGCAATCCATCTTCCTCTTTGATCAATAAATGACTGACTTAAGAATAAATGAGCAAAGGTCAAAGTAAGATTAATAATAACGGTGTGCTGACTGGTTCATTCAGATTAATATTAATTCAGAAAACTTTAGTTTCGACTAAAAAAGCAAATATTTCAGGTAATGACAAATTATTAAGCCGGAAAAGCGTCATCGTCTGGTGATGAATGAACGCTGAGCTTCATTTTAACATTTTGTATATTATTAGATATAAGATATATCAATATCCATAAGACATTCAGTAAAGCAGCCTCTTTGCAATAAAAGTGCAACTTGTCAAAACAATCAATTCATTTTCAATAAATTACATTAATAATTTTCTTTCTCTTCAAATCTAATCAAATAATATCCGATAATAATTAATAAACTGAATAATTAAATAGTATCGGATAAAAGCAATGGGTAAATATATGAAAACTATTATCGAATATATTGTATTTAATTTTTCATTTTGTATAAAAAATTTCAAGAAATAGCTAGAGAAATGATGAAAAGTAGTGCTTTTGGCATTGTTACTTTTAATCGTACAATGACAGTTGTTTCAACAATTCCGAAAAAAAAAAAAATTTTTAGGAAAGATATTTTTCAAAAAAATTTCTGGAAAAGAAAAAAAAATTTGCTATCAAAGCGCCGAATTGTCTACCCTTCTCATTTTATCCTTTGTGAAGACAAAGAGAGAGAGAGAGAGAGAGAGAGAGAGAAAGGAGAGAAGAGTAAGAGGGGAGAAAAAAAGAAAAGATTTCATCACTGAGAGAGCTTGTGTTAGCACAGATTAGCAAAAAATAATTATGAAAAGTGCTTGTTCACCTGCAGCGATAATCGGAACAGTGCCATGCACCCTACCCTATTGGTTTTCTCATCTCGTATCTCTCGTACAGCACGTATCTCTCGTACGCCACGTAATATTTACCCCAACTTTGCTACTGGAATACTGTAAAATACAAGGGGAAACGATGACGGATGGAGGCTACCATGCCACCATAGCTACCGGAGCTTACCACGCTACCATAGCTACGTCACCACTATTGCTCGAAATGAATATTTCAGCCTCGATGGCTAGAGAAGGACACAATCAGGACATCATAATTCACTATTTCAATTTCTGATTGATTAGGGACTTTGATTTTAAAGCAAACTTGTTTCAATTCAAGATGAAACGATAACATACAATCTGTAAAACTGCAAATCGATCAAAAAAAAAAGTGCAAAACTTTAACAGTGCTAGCTTACAAGCGATAACAATTTTATGAAATGTTAATTTCAATTTGAATCAGTCAAGGAACGGAAATCAATAAAAGTTACGTCAGTGTTACTTATGGTCGATATGCTGCTGATAAAGTTGAGCATTTGTAGAACATACTGATAAGAGTAAACAGTTATAAAATTCGTATGCAATAAGGCAGTCTTTTGTTTAAATCTAATAGAGAAAAGAGATTATACATTGAGGAAAATGTATCACAAATTAGGAATAATGAAAGAAGAATTATTATTTGCTAGCAAATGCTGGAAGACTTTCACTATGAAGCAGCACATCTGCAAGCAAACATTGCAATGCTTACATGCAGTAGTTTTTGCATTTGATCATAAAGCATTGAAAACATTTGGAATGTAAAGAGAACAAGGAAATAAACTATTTTTAGTCGATTACTAATAATGTACCCAATTTGATTGAAACGGATCGCTAATTCAGTATGTTTATTTTTTGTATTAAAAGTGTCGTACGCTGCTATATCATTCGTACATACATAGGTATTATCACATCACATACATACACACACATACACATACATACATACACATACATACACACACATACACATACATACACACACATACATACACACACATACATACACACACATACACATACATACATACACATACACACACATACACATACATACACACATACACACATACATACACACACATACACATACATACACATACATACACACACATACACACACATACACACACATACACACATACACTTACACATGTACATAGATACATACACTCAACATGCATGCATACACTCATACACATATACATATTAAGATTGAATGGTATGAAAAATTGCTGGAAGAAAGTTCAAATCCAGCATTTATTGGATCAGTGACACAGATAGATGGGTAAGCAGCACAGGTGGGAAGTGTGAAGTACGTAGGAGCAAGCAGCGAAAGGATAGAAACGTTATCATCTGATTAGCATGCATTTCAACTGATACATGCATATCAGTAAGTCAGCAGACTATACTGGAAGGACAAAGAGAAGTGGAAGGAAGAAGTGAATAAATTGGAATTAGAGAAAAAGATAGGAAATTGTTGAGTTATTGGTTTAAATATCATATAGTGATAGATTGACAGGTACCTATTAATCTTTTCTTAATATCACAACAAGATTTCATCTTTAGCAATGAAAGAAAAGAAGAGACAAATAAGAGAGAGAAAGGTAAACAAAGATAATAATTGTACAATGAAACAATGATTAGGAAAAAAGGAGTAATAGTGTTTGAAGAATTCATGCAGAATGTATAAATAATATAATAGTGATATCTGAAACAATGCTTGTCACATTGAAATATTTTATTCAAATTCAACCGTGTATTGTTTCAATTACGATGAATTTAAAACAAAAAAAATAAAGGAAACTTTTGAAAATAGTATGGTTAAAGTAAGAGGAATTTTTGACGGTAGTTAATTTGCTGAGATTATGATTATTGCGCAGCCATTCAATTTTATAGTAACAAGAACGGATATTTCGAAAGGATCCTGAAAATTTCATTTTTTCTTTTATAGTTATGGCAATAATTCAGTCATGAGATGATTTATCTATCCGTATTTAGAAGTTTCTAAATGATGGGCACCTACTTAATCATACCAATATCTCCAATAACAAGATCGCCACCAATTTCACGATTCATCATTTATATGTTTCATGTTATCACTTGTTTAGAATTAAGTTTTAAAATCTAATTTTTCGCAGCATTATTTCAAAAACATTAAATAATAATTAAGTTTCAATTCAAACTTGAACGGTTTTTAGTTCGAATCAAACCAGGAATTATTCTGACGACTGCAATCTAATAAATGAAGTAATAATTTATGTAACAGTTCAATTTTCAAAGACACTTGGTAGCACCCAAGTTATTTTCTAGACTAATTTACTCTGATGTAGGTAGGAATACCGCCCTAGGAATGATTCTGTCCAGGAAAAATAATTCTTTATATTAAAAAGCCAAGTTAATACTGAAGCTAATCTTTCATGTAATTACATTTAGGTCCAAAATATAAGCTTTACTATTGATGTCTCCCTATATTGTAAATCACTTAATGCTAAGTGTTAGTACTACTTTGAAGATAATAGCTATTTATTTTTGAACAGAATACTTTCCTTACCGATTAGATTAAAATATCAATTCAGTTTATATCTATTTGTCGCCTAATGAAAAACCATTGATGCTAATCAACCGTAATTAATTGTTAATCAACCGTAACAATAACCATCACATCTATCATCATTTAAATGAGAGATGATGAGATAGATATCATGTCTTATCATAAATATACCCTCAGATTAGGATCAATCTTTTTAGCCATTCAGTAGTTTGAAAATGGACGAAACAGATAAACCGACCGCTATAGGTATATGACAACAAATTTTATCTACTCATTAACGGATCATTTCACAGGTAATCGAAATTGACACGGTTCATTTGGAGCCAACTAATTGAGACGTCACGATGGGCTCAGCTCTTACTTTCATTTTCATCTGCTTTTTATATCTTGAATAAATTCCATCTCGAGAAGGAGACAGAGACAGAAAAAAAAACACTGAGAGAAAGAGATTTTCAACTATATGAAATCATTTTAAATTGTGCTATCCAAATATAATGCTTGAAATTTTGTGAATAATTTATAATGGAATATAATGCACTGCTCAAAAAGTGCTATTGTTTTTAGTGCATGGGATGGATGAGTGGAGGAGTTTGTTGGGTGGACAAATTGTATAGAAGTTGAAGAGAAGGGGAAATGTTACTCGATACTCCTTTGCATGCTAAGAGAAGCAAGCAATCTCCCTTCTGTTTTGAACCTTTTCCTTTTTCTCTTTTAAATTTTCTCTTCTTTCCTCTCTCTCTCCTAAACATGATGATGATTCATCTAAATAGTGCTAAAGAAAAATTGTTACTTAGCAATTTTTTTTTTTTTTTTTTGTGAAATAGTATCATTGTACAATATGCCACTAAAATGGCAAATGTGGAATAGGGCCAATATTTTATTTTTTATTTTTGATTAAATTCAAAAAAGTTTCATTATTTTTTTAAACTTTGTAAATAGTCATAGAAAACACCACATTGCAGTCAAATATTTTTCTGTCCTTTTTCTTCTTTTTCTCTTAAAAAGTTTAATTTCCTTCTTTTCATCTCTCCTCTTTCTCCCAACATTTTATCTATTCATAACAAATTATCTTTTATTGATAAAATATTTACTACCTCTTTTCACATATATTACGTGAATCAAATCCATGTGTTCTATTTGGACAACAACAATCTGCATATGATTTCAAATTCAAGTGAATTTGAATTTGTTAAATTGCATTTAATAAGATTTTAAGTAGTTTTATCGCACTACACTTCATGACTATCCGATTTTTTTATCGCCAATTGGCTTGATACGAACTAATGTGGCTTTTTCATAAATTTGCTTATCATTCTACTATTATTAAAATGTAATAACCAGAAATTTCAGTGGTACAATGTAGAAAATTCGATATTGTAATATATTCACTCTAATTTCCTGTGAAATCTACAAGTAAATTTACTAATTAAATTTTAGATGAATTTAGAAACAGACTCAATTGTTACGTACAAATATGAATATAAATATGAAAAAATATATATATATATATAAATAAAGGATACCTATAGAAATCTTTTCACAAAAATTACTGTAATAAGATTGATTTTTAACAAAAAATAATTGTGCTACCAAAATTGTTGTATAGATCATTGTTAGTATCGTGGAATACGATGGATGGATGATATTACAGATTCTTTGTCCGAGAGACTGGAACAAAAGTAAATAAAGCAATACAAACAGTAAGTAACAATACGGATCCAACAACAACCTATTGTTAGCTGTTGTGAAGAGTGGAAAGGTAGCGATACTGTTGACACTTCGATGATATACTCTTCAAGAAATATACTCCTAGCGAACTTTCCTTCTTTTATAGATTGTTAAATATATAAAGTCTATAGATTTATTGACCCTATTCGTATATGTATGTAAGTCTTTTCAAACGGTAGGCATTTCTGTTATTAGAAAGAAATCAGATATCTGTCATCGAATTGATCTACTTCATTTGATTTGCCTGTTTACAGTAAATTCAGATTATCTTTAATTGTAAGATTTTCATATTTGTGAAGATCGAATCGGTTTTTGGAAGATAAATTCACATTTGAGAAAAAAAATTTTTTTTCTTTCTTTTAAAATTTTTCTTAAAAATTTTTTTTTCTAGCTGTAATAATTCTTCCAAAGCAATGCTAATTTTAAGTGAGAAAAAAGCAAATAATGACAAAATGAGTTGCTAAAGAGTTGAAAGTATTTAATATTGGACAATAAATAATCAAATTCTAACAAAGAAATCATTTAGAAGTTTGATTTTTCCATCCTTTTTCTTCATGGAAAAAAAGGAAGGAAAAAGTAGAAAAAAGATGTAATAAAGCGATGAAAAGATGCAATAACGATAATTGAAAAAAAAAAAACCCAACTTTTCATATGATTGCAATTGATTTTATATCTAAAATAAGATCTAAAATAAATAAATAAATACATATATATCGGTTCAACATTCGGCTATATTATTAATCTTTAAAAATTATTTCTAAATTTTTGCTTTTTAAGCATTGATAGATATGCAAGAAAAAAAAAATTTCTCCCCCCTCCCCCCAAAAAAAAAAAAAAGAACAGAATTTTTACCTTTTTTTTAGAAAAAAAAATTATTCAACCTTCATTCTTTTTTTTTGGGAATTGCCAAGATCATAAAAGGTATTGTTTCTGATATTTTTGAAGTGCTAAAGTGTATCAGCATAACTATAGATTTT